AATTTAATTTTTTACAAACAATCTTATGCTTGCACATTAGGGCGGGTCAATTTTTTTTTTATTATGCGCGTATAGCATATGGGAACTCTACATGTAATTCCAAGCAAAGTTTCCGAAGAAACCTTGGCTCTAAAATCAATTTGGAGTTTGGATAATAAGTAAAAGAAATCCATTTTCGCAATTTGGCAAACTCCAAACTGATTTTAGACCCATGATTTCTTCGCAAATTTGCTTAGAATCCTACAGTGCCATACGCGCATAGTCGAAAAGGTCTCCCATACAAATTGACGCGCCCTATTGCACATCCTTGCATTTTTTTTAACATTATTTTTTTAATAAACAAAACGTGATAATTTTAATTAGTATAATGGTTACAGCCAGTTTCACCAAACTATTTAAGTGGAAATTAACTTTAATTTAATTTTTTATTTAAATCTCATTTTAATTATTTTCAGTTTCAATAAACTATTTATTTAAGCGAGTAAAAAGTGGTTGTAAAACAGACTAGGACTAGCTTTCGCTTTCATTTGTACTGAGAGCTTTTGAAAGCTTTGGCACGCTGTGTTGTAAAAGCAGGGCGGGTATACAAGTAAGCAGCAGATGCACAATGATCAGGTGATTAAACGTGTAACACCTCTGAGTGTGGTTATTCTGATTTAACTTTTATTTAAGTGCAGAGCATAGGTCACTTAAATCAAAATAAAATTGATTGGTGAAACCGAAATTAAAGTAATTTTCACTTAAATAATTTGGTGAAACTGGCTGTTAGAGTTGCGCAGGGCCACAGGGCATAGTATCGAGCCCAGTTTCCGACGAACGTCAAAAATAAATGAAAAGAAGAAAAATTCTATTAGCGGTCCCCTCTCGAGTGCATTTCGGACATGCAAAAAAGCTTTTCATAATAATACGATCGCCGTTTGGAGTTGGCGTAAAACTGTAGGTCCCTGCCCTTTGTGTAACAACACCAATGTGGATTCCACAAATCGGAGGAAAAGCTCGGCCAAACACTAACATAGGTCGTCCCTGATCAATAAAAGCCAAACCTTCCAGTGTATTTCGTCACCTGTGCAGAAGATCGACCTATCTCGGCAGCCAGTTCGAAAACGCCCTATCTCAGAAAACTTTTCAAGAACACCCTACTTCAATATTTAATCGAAGAACACTCTATTTCAGAATTTTTTGGAAAAACACCCTATCTCAGAATTCCGTTCAAAAACGCCTTTTCTCAGCTGAAAATACATTGAAAATGTGCTGAGATAGGGCGGTTTTGAATCGGCATCTGAGACGGGGCGTTCTTCAACCAAATTCTGAGATAGGGTGTGTACTGTATTCCGTCGGGAGGTGGATGGAATACAAGGTCAATTACCCATTATACTAGAGGCCTATAGCAAGGATGAGCACGATAGCGTAAACATGGGATAATATTACATATCCGCAAACTTTCTCGACTCTTTGATGAACTTTAGGAGTTTGTCTTGGGAATGAAAATGCGACTTCTCATTCAAAGAATTCGAAATACATTTAGGGATTAGCAATTTGCCAAGTGATTAATAGATAATTACGCTTGATTTACTCGTAGAACCACTGCCTCCCAAAATGATACACACCAATTTGGATGAAAATGCAAAACTGGAGCGCAAACTTGGCGACTTCCTAGAATTGGAATGTACACCGGAGGCTATACCAGCGGCAAATGTGCACTGGTACAAAGACGATANTTTGAATTTCCACGCGAAAAGCTTAAATTGGGCAAACAATTGGGCGCTGGCGCCTTTGGTGTGGTTTTGAAGGCGCATGCTGAGGGCATACGACCTGATGAAAAGGAGACTGTGGTGGCTGTGAAGATGGTGAAACGCATAGCGGATAATGAGGTGATGCGCGCTTTGGTCACGGAATTGAAAATTATGGTACATTTGGGACCAAATTTGAATGTTGTGAATTTGTTGGGCGCCGTCACAAAGAATATCGCACAACGTATGTAGCTAAATTGTTTTTTTTCTTCTTTTGGTATAGCCGGAATAGTAATAACATAAATCTTGGCATCTCATTTCAGGTGAACTGATGGTTATTGTGGAATACTGCCGATATGGTAATGTGCAAAACTTCTTACTGCGCAATCGCAAACGTTTTATAAATCAAATCCATCCGGAGACTGACAAAATCGATCCGACCATTACAAAGCAACGCTTCTCGGATAATTTCGAATTGAATCGGTATGGCAACGCTTTGTGCAAATATGTATTAGTTACTGGTATATATCATAGTGTAAATAGTTTTTTTTTTAATATGGCATGTCGCAGTAATATTTAGCTTTTTTTGTTTACCTTTTGTTTGTTTTAACACTGTATTTAAAAACGCTTACATATTACTAACCCGATATAAGCTTTCATAAAGTCCAATTTAACAATGAGACATACAGGTAATCTCTGCCATTTAAAAGCTTCTCAGTAAAAATCAGCTTAAGTTTCTCGTAACTTAGACTAAATCTTCAGGTTGTTTCCCTTTTCAACCCTCCTCAAAATATTTTCAAACTAAGACCTTCTTAAAATTCTTTCGTCTAACATCCGTATTGTGAGACATATTTCAGTTACCCAAGCAGACGTTTTAAACAGTTGGCAACCCTTCTTCATGTAGTCTACATGAAGCCTTTCAAAGCCATTTCGATTGATACCCATTTTGTAATGCATAATTGATTTTACTTACAAAATAATTTCATATTTCATTGAATTTTTAAATAGTTGGCAACCCTCTTAAAACCTTCAAACACCTTTAAAAAATTCTAATTGTTCAAACTAAAGACTTCCTAAAATTTAGGAAAACTCGACAAAGTTTTATTAAAATGGCGAGCTCTTTAATTATATATCTTAGAAATATTTAAAGTATGCACTTTTTGTAGCCAATTCAATTTAATACAGGAGAAGCTTGAAGTAGTTTTGACTTACTGTTAATTTTTGACAATTTTTCCCCAAATAAAAAAATTTCGAACATATTTTGTATGGAAAATCTGATGCAATTTTGTTGAATTTTGACGAATATTCGCAATATTTTACAGAGTGTGAAATTCGGACTTATGTACATAGTATTTGTTAGATAACGATCCTTTCATAAAAACAAGTAATTTTTAAGCAAAAAACCAAACCGACTTCAATTCTCATATGAAAATTTAAGAGTACTGATAATTTCTTCATGATCCAATGATCGGATCTAAACCAAATTAGTATGGGACTACCTCTGAGGTACCAACTTTCCTTTAGAAAAAAGTTATAGAGGATCAAATAGGACAAAAAATTTATTCCATAAAAAAAAATGTTTTTGTTATCGCTGAATGTGAATGTGGGGGTCCCTTGATTCTTCAAGGTCATCTAGAGGTCATGCCAAGGTCAAATTCAGAAGAAATATATTGAAATTTCAGGTTTATTCAATGAATTTTTCCCTATTCGACCTTCAAATGACCTCGAAACTGACATCGTCCTGATGGTCGTCTGCTTCCCTGAAAATATAACTAAAAAATAAAATCACCCAGGAGCGAGGTAAAATCTGCGGTTGAACAAGTTTTCATTGTTCATGTGAGCGAAATTAAATCCAACCTTTGAAGTTTATTTAAACGTTAAATAGCAGTTTTTTTGCAATGTGGTTGGCTATTAGACTGTGGAGGCACAAGTAACAATCGAACAGGCAATCAACGGTAATGCAATTCCATAAACTTAGATCCAGACCCCATGTCCAGTCTTAAAGTCTTCTACATGGTCACGCGTGGCCACGCGGCTTGGATGTCCATCTTATTTATTCCTAAATTCGGCCATTAGCTCAGACTGACCTAAATCATCTCGACCTTACTGTATTCTAAAGAGGCAGAGGTCGACACCGTGTTGCGTGAGCGTGACATAACATTGAGCTACAGAAGTATTATTTCTTCTTCATGAGAAAAGCTGGCAGCTTTCCTCCTTAGGCGTCCTATTCCATTGGAAGACTCCTTCGATAAAATTGTATGTGTATGGGAGGCCTCTACGATTCCCTCTTGGAGCATCTAATAAGTTTGTTTTAGTTAGGGAGTACAGCCGTGTGATGTGAAATGTTTTCCCTGTTGAAGACCTTCCTGACATAATTGCCCTTTGCGTCCAGTAGTTCTACACATAAAATAATTTTTGGTGATTTTATTCTTTAACTGCGATTCCAGACACAGTAGCAATACGAAAGTCAACGTTAGAAACTCGGGCGACTTCTGTGAAGTGTTTCGATCTTTCCAGGAAAAAATAATTGAATGAAGTTTGATACCCGAATATTATTTTTAAACGGAAAAATTTAATAAAATCCATAAAACAAGAAATTCTGTATAAAAAACAATCTCCTCACAAGGCATCTGTAGATTAACCAAATTTTTCTTTAGCAAAAAAAAAAAGGTTCCCATGTACATATTTCATCTACATATACATATCGTTACCTTAATATAGAAAGGCCCTTTCTAACATGTTTGTTTCTTTGCAGAGTAGTTCTAAATCCTAAAACAAACTAAAGCTCTGCAGTTGCGTTGTTGTTTTTTCATTACACTGGTTTTCAATGAACATAGAAACCATTTTTTGATATATTAGTTGATTTAAATTCGATTACGTCTTTAGTGAGCAATCTATAGACTATGGGCAGAGCTGGATTCCAAACAAAATGAGTAAGGGCCTTTCTATATGTACATAATTATATTATTTGCAATTATTATTTAACATTTCTTAATATTTGAATTAAAAAATGGTCGAAAAACTCCATATAATTTATATTAGATTGATTATATGTATATTAGGACTGGGATTTCCATCCGGATTTTTTTTTTTGCTGTCCGGATAGTCCGGTTATCCGAATAGTGTAGAGATATCCGGATATTCGAATCCAAAAATTAACAATAAAATAAAAAAAAGATTAGCGTTTTAATGAAGCGTTTTAATATTTATTTTGCGAATCCCTTCAAATATTCTTTAAAATACCGGATATCCAGATAACCAAATGGAACGGATATCCAAATAGACGGATAGTCCCAGCCCTATTATGTATATACATATACATGCATACGTATGTATGTCTTTTTAGATATTTATGTTAATGATTGGTAAAAGTTTCTAAAATTTTATTTTCTTAACCTATTTTTCATACCTCAAAAAAAAAAA